CAGTAATCGGTCAATTAACATGATGAAATTCAGAAGGGTTTCATGTTTTTCAGGCTATTGTTGTTTGTTTTCTTTTTCAATACAAAACCATTTTTACTGCTGGACAAGCTAACGAATGCCAGTCCGAATTTTGTTTTCTTGTTTTCTTTCAATCACTTTATAATATTTTTCATGGTAGTGTTCGAGTACCAATTTCCCACACTGGTTACGTGACAATAAATTTTGCTTTCAGAATAAAAATTGGACCAGTCTGCAACGTAAACTAGGAGGAATGAGACTGAGAGATCTGTGAGATAAGTACTTGTCATTTCTTATTTCTCTCTATCGTCCATCTCTGATCATTGCGGTGGCGGGTTGTAATGACAAAATATTAGAGGCTGTCCGATCGTGGGACTTCCTTCCTATGTCACTCAAGTATAGCTTTTAGATAGAATTTCAAGTTAGTCACTCGATACCATTCCTAAGATTAACTGGGATAAGAGAGAGAGAGAGAGAGAGAGAGAGAGAGATGGAGAGAAAATGAAACAGAAATGAAGGAGGGAAGAACATAGCACAGAAAGGCCGACAGTCCATTAAGGCAGCCACAAATATAAATTTCTTTCGTTATGAAATATTTTCTCAATGAAAGCATACTTCAATCAATCCCTATTTCAAGTTCATATCCTTTATTCCACTTTTCAAATGTTATCGTACTTCAGTCAAGCCCTATCTCATATTCAAATGAATTCTTTATTCCACTTTTAAAATTGTACCACGCCGATAAAAAAATTATTCTTCTTTTCATTAAACAAAATTATGTAGGTGTATAGGGCTTCAGGGTAATAATATCATAAATCATAATAAATAACAAGATATACCTTTATAATTGTGAGTCATTATTTTATCCCGATTTTAACCTCTGTTCATGTATCGTCTTTTATTCAGTAAAAATATTTTAAATACAAAGTAATTGTACCCATTTAATACACGCGCATCGAGAGGGACAATGGGCTAGACTAGTCCAAGGATGCAAGCACCGAGAGCGTCTCGAACCAAGAACCTCTCGTATGTGAGTGAAGAGCCTTTATCAATAAACCACAGTGCTCCCGGTATGCTTTTATGAATATCGGCCTTGGATGACTAAAACTCCTATTATGCAAAGCGATATCTCCTTGATTCATTGTCAACGAATTCCATGGAGATCAACTGTACCCGTACTCATCTCGATGCCGGAGTGTACCTCTCGGATGATTCATAACAAAGTCATGTTTACTTTGTCTTGCGTCCATCCTTCCAAAATCAATACATCGAAATAAAATATTTCACTCTTGCACTAGTTTCTGCTTTTCTCCCTGTCTATCTACCTCGAATTATTTGACACAACCAAGCTGTATGGCAGATGAGATAACTCGTCAGGTGCAAGAGGGGCGCGTGCCACCCCCCCCCCGCGAAACTACATTTTGTGAAAGTGTGTAACCACGTGTACACGCTTGCCCCCTCCCCGCCTCAGGATTAATTAGAAGAAAGCTCTTGCTTCTTTTTCTGTTTTTGTTGTTGTTGTTGTTATTTCTCTCTCTCTCTCTCTTTCTTTATAAACTTGTCTTCATTTTTCTATTCGTTCTCTTTTACTTTATCTACTGTCACTGATTATTTGCTTTAGATTCCGTCTTGTTGCTTTTAGAATTCAAAGCAGCTCTGATTCGTACATTACAAAAATACTTCTCTCACAATCTAAAATTTGTCTAACCTATAGTCCCTTCCATCATTTCATTTGCTACTGAATCTTTTTCTTTTACTTTGTGTATTTTTTTTTACATCATCCTCTGTCTCTCTTACTCATTATCAACCCCCCTCGATGGCTCCATTTTGTCATTGCTCCACACTCTCTCTCTGCCTCTCTGCCTCTCTGCCTCTCTCTCTCTCTCTCTCTCTCCCTCTCCCTCTCTCTCTTTCTTCATTTCAATTACAGCGCAACGCTCATGCACCATGTCCACATCTCACCCAGATAATCCCCTCTCCGTCCCTCCCGTCAACCTCTTCACACGTTTTAATACTGACATGGATCTTATCTTACTTATAATACAAGTGAGTAATACATAATTTTCTTGTATTACGTCATGCATTCCATTCTTAAGTACCACCATGACAATTACCCGTACGTTTGGTGGTAATTCTATCCCTTTTAATAATGGAAAGATAACTTACCACTTGCATTTGTTGGTGCTCAAAAGGGGAAGGTTTACTGTATATTGACTCACTTGTCATGATGATATATAAAACGGGTAAAAATTGCCCTTTTTTATGTGACTCATCATCGTCATCGTATTTGTTTCTCCCCTTCCATCTTCTCCTCCTCCTCACCATACTCATCCTCATCATCATTTTCATTATTATCATCATAATCGTCATCTTTATCATCCTCTTCATCCTCCTAATCACCATCCTCATCCTTATCCTTATCATCATCATCTTCATTCTCATTTTCCTCTTCCTCATCATCAACCTCATACTAATTATTCTCACCCTCACAATCCTCATCCCCATCCTCTTCTTTATCATCATCATCATCATCATCATCATCATCGTCGTCGTCGTCACCATCATCATCATCATCATCATCACATCATCATCATCATCATCATCACATCATCATCATCATCATCACGTTCTCATCATCATCATCATCATCATCATCATCGTCGTCGTCGTCGTCATCATCATCATCATCATCATCTCATCACATCATCTTATCATCGTCGTCGTCGTCGTCGTCGTCATCATCATCATCATCATCATCATCATCATCAACATCATCACCATCATCTTCATCACATCATCATCATCACATCATCATCATCATCATCATCATCATCATCACGTTCTCATCATCATCCTCACATTATCATCACAATCATCGTCACCATCACCACGACTGTCCTGAATGCTGTCGATCTGAAAATTTGTCGTCGACTTCTTCGTCATCATCGTCTTCATCAGTGCCGTCATTGACCTTTTCCAACGTTATCTTTTGACCATAACATTGCTATCTATTATGCAATCACCACATCGAGAGAACACATATCGGTGACCAATCTAATCAGTTCAACTTCAGGCCTACAGAAGTCTTCAGTTGGTATAGACCCACCAAAATGGTTAAATTTGCATCTTTTAAAACAAAACGTCGTCTTTGACCTTGAAACGCTGAAGGGCAAGAAGCACTGACTGAAGCATCTTCTTTTCAAGAACGTACTTCAACGATGACTACATACAATCGATTGTCACAACATTCACAGCTATTTGGATGAGTATTGATTCTCGGCTAACATGGCTAGAGGAAGCAGTAGTAATTATTTCGGGCTCTAAGCGGTTTATGTTATAATTAGTCTCGCCTTTTAACTCCTGACCTGGCGTCACTTACATTGTATCATAAGTCATTAAGTCTTTACCCCATGTTTTAAGTGCTCAAATTATAAAACCATACGACGGAGAACATGAAAGAGTGTCATGAAACATGCATATTTATGAAGCGAGTGTTGTCGAACAGTTTTGCCAAATGTGTATCCTTGCGTTCTCTTAAATCATGTGAAGCTCCTAGCTAGCTGTGTAGTGACATAGATCGGAAATAAAATTTTCTCGTATATAGATTTATTCTGTCTGATCTCTGTTGTATCAGATACATTCCGTCATAATTAGCATCGTCATAATGTTGACAACTACAACAATCTTCATGAATATCATTATCGTATTTATCATCACATCATCATAATCATCATTGTCATTATCATCTTCATCATTCTAACCATCGTCATCTTTGTAGTTGTTCTAACAGTCAGTGTTTTACAGAAAAAAGGATATTTTCATCCCTAAGAAGAAAAGTGCCACGAAGAATGATGAAGAGGTAAACGAGGAGGAGAAGGGGGTGGGGGAGGAATGCAAAATACTGACGAAGGGGGTTGAGGATGAGGAAGAAAGGGAGTAATATTTACATGGTATATATGCGATTACATCGTACAACCGTGCTTTGATTTGAATACGGACCAGTAAGCTGATCCAGAGTTCGAAAACGTTTCCACAACAAGAACAATGATTGGCATAGGTTTTGTGTGTTTGGTATCCCATCGTTACACTCTTTCCCTCCAACATTGAGTGATTACAAAAATCAGATCGATCCTGCTCTCCCCAATAGTCATCATATACCGTCTGCGATAATTATTTTCTCTTTAATTAGATACACCGCTTCCGATTAACCTCGTTTGCTGAACATACAAAGTGCATTCTGATCGATATTGTGGCATGCCTGTCGGTATGTGGCGATGCAGAGAATCAAAAGTTAGCCCTTAATTGGAAAGTTTATATGGTTTAGACTTTAAAAATAGAATTAACGCCTCATTCTTCTCTCTTATGTAAGCATTCATACCACTGAAAAAAATGATTTCGTCAGTTTTATACAATTTTTTTTCTCGAGATAATGAAATGAAATGTATGGTCTCCATGTCTTTTGGCCTACCCTCCCCATTCCGCCGCTCTCCCTCTCTCTGCGTTCTCTATCTCTCTCTCTCTCTCTCTCTCTCTCCTCTCTCTCTCTCTCTCTCTCTCTCTCTCTCTCTCTCTCTCTCTCTCTCTCTCTCTATATATATATATGTATATCTTTCTATCTCTCCCTATATATATCTCTCTCTCTCTTTGTTTCTCTTTTTGTTTCTCTCTCTCTTTCTTTCTCTCTCGATATTATATGTCACAAACAAACAAAACGAGAGCAAACAATGGCATTTGTGATTTCTCTTTTAAACACTTCAGTATTTCATCATGTTGTGTATTATCCTAATATGTACATAATTCAGAGACATAAACTTAAACAAAAAATTGAAATAGAAAATAGTTGTATTGTTTTCAATAAAGCCCAGAGTCCTGAGCTTGGAAAACAAATAAAAAACATAATATAGTCAAACCTGTCTATAGTGACCGCCCAAGGGAAACACAAAAAGTGGTCTTTGTAGACAGGTTCCTTTAGTACATTTTTCAATGAGAAACCATTTTCAAGGGAAACAAAACATGTGGTCTTTGTAGACAGGTGGTCACTAAAGCAGGTTCGACTGTATGACAAGTATAACGAAGCGACAATGCAATAAGAATCCCTTGCTTTCCCAATCTTCAAAGCATCTGTCTTCTTAGGTCTTTTTAAAAAGTAACACGTGAACGATTAGGACAACGATGAAAATGACGACGACGATGATTTACTTTTTTAAACATTAATGAATATTTCATAATGATTATAATGTCAAACAGAAAAATTGGAAGATGTCAAAACATGTCTTCACGTAAAATATTTTAACAGACAAACAACGACAGACATTTTGTGTCGAAGAAAATGCTTGGAAATATCGTTTTAATACTTTTTGACAGAAATACTTGTCTTGAAAAAGTATTCTTAAGATTTTGATAAGAAATTACTTCCCTGTTAGAAGCTCATAAAACATATTGCTATTTGTAACCACAAATATATTACCGCTATTTAATTTCTGTTCCGCGATTCATCGCCGCCGTCGTCATGATTGTCAAAGAATTGTTGTAGGAGTGAAAATCATTTAAATATATTCTACTTTTATCTCATTACATCTAAAAACGAAATTTGGAAAACATAAATGCTTGCATATTGATAAATACACCGTTTCAGGAGTTTATACCCTGTGTGAAATAAATAGCAAACCATCCAAGAATGAGCATCATTATAACACAAGTTTGTGAACTTGGATTTATCCATTTTCAGAATCGACAATTTCATTAACACCATAGATCGTGGTTTATTTCTATAGTGTCACCGAATCAGCATGATCAGCGACTACTTAACGAAACATGGACGTCTAGTACTGGCTGTAGTTTGTTAGGAACCATGACAGTTGGGCTCTTTGCGAACAACACTAAGGTATTATTATTATTGCATGTGTCAGAATATGCCGAGTTAAACTAATAAAGAGGTAATTATGCAAAGCTACATGGATACCTGAAATAAAAGACCCTTTTCGTTTATACAGATCTATGGAAATAAAGACAATGACATCTTTCACAATCTTCAATGGACATCAGTCTTGTAACTGTTTGGCCTTTTTTAACCGTGTATAAATAAAGGTATCAATTCAATTCAATGATATCATACATTTCAAAGAGATGAGTGTGATTTTTGTGCGAAAGACAGTCAACTCGTCATCTCTTTGTAACAGACGGACATAAAAATTCAGCCACATCATGCCTCTAAAAAGTGCAGTGCCAACATTTAGCCAACCACAGAGGCATTTAATTATTTATTCTATGTGCAAGAGACATATTGAAATCATACAATTTTAGAAGACGATCCGTATTTACAATCATGTTTTTACATTATGTGCAAAAGATAATATAAAACTTTCTCTTTCATAATAGGAGACCAAATTTTTACAATGGATGGATGCTATTTACAAATACAAGTATTACAGGAAGCCATTAAAAAGAAACCCCCCTCTATATTCTAATATTTCCAAAGAAAGTGTTCATATTTGCTATAATGATCGCCATCTGACGGCTGATGTTATTACTAGTAATAAAACGCTCAATAAAATGATATTGCTGGTTGCTATCTTCACTTGTCGGTCGCAACTGGAGTTAGTATCGCCAGAGTTCTCAGTGTATTGTACTTCGTAAGGGTCCTCATCTGAGCAATGTAGTAATGGACTTTGGAATGATGTGGCTCGGAGGGACTCCGTGTTAGGAGTTTGCCCGTCGCTTGGGCGTTGTCCAGTAAAGAGCAGAAGACCCTCCTCAGGGTCCGGCACTGTCTTTACGAGCTCAAACTCCATGTGAGGTAAGTTGACCCCTAAGACGTCACATCCTCCTGCTGACGTCACGTCGAGGGTCCGTCCGACCTTCCATGCGCCGCGCCTTCCGCACCCAACGTTCTTGGAGTTGAATCGCTCGACCTCCTTATCGCACTGCGGCGTGAGGTACATCGCGAGACTGGTGAATTTAAAGTTTGTGGCGCCCTCTACAATGGCCGACGGCTCTCCTGCTGTTCTTGTTCCCTTGACTGAGACAGTGTACTTGGGGAATTGACAGAGAGGGTCGCGATAGAAGTGGTAGTGACCCTCCCACGTCTGATTGTCGAAGAAGATGAGGTGACGGGTTAGAAAGTAGATGTGTCGAACCTCGCAATGGACGCTGACCCAGCCCCCGGATAAGGCAATGTTCTCGTGTTGTATCCGAGGTAGTATTGGAGGCGCATGCTCACGTGCATTGTAGACGATCTGGCACACGGCGCAGTAATTCTGGAATGAGAAGGGAAAGAAAATGTTTGTAATAAAAAATGTATCACTTATTAATGAATAAGCCTAAATTATTAGGAAGAGTTTATAACTATTGAAAGTTTCATACTATTAACATGTTATACCAAGAGGGAAATTCGATGTCAGTTTGATGAAAAACCTCTAGTGATTAAAAACCAAAGATTTACTCAATGTTTTGTGAACAATCATGAAAATGACAGTAACATCATTGCATCAAAGTCGTACTTTTTAACATCAAACGCTTCGGCCCTGTGAAAAAGACTGTTTTACTTAATAGCTGAAAGAGTTGAGTTTGATTGATTCCATTACTATGGTGATACAAATGGCGTTCAGGTTGGACATTGACAGATCGCTTGTCGAGTGAAGGAGACACCCAAATGATGCAACAAATTACTGAAGCTACTCATATTAGAGCACTTATACCCCGGCCATACCAACGAGACTGATACCAGACCGGTTGAAGACCGATCAAAACACCACATTCCACCGAATGGCCGGAAATCGGTCAGTTTGGTGTCAGTTTGCTGTTGTGACTGAGCCTTTTAAGTCAATGGGCAGGCGGGGCAAATGACGCGACGGTCTGACTGACCGAGGTCATTGGCTAATTCTTCCAACGTCGCGCCAATTTCTCGGTAGCGCCAACTCCGACAGAATCAAATCAACTTTCGTCTTGTATTGATGCACACCGATGAGCTTACTCCAGATTGCTACAAGATTGCCTTCCAAGTTAAAAACCTTTCAACGCCGTCTACAAGCGAGAGACCATCACTGTTTTCATTAGAAAACCCTTATTATGATGAAATAGCATAATTATGTGTACAAGCCATCTGTCTATCCCTCGGCTTTAAAGATAAAGTTGAGTTCTGGCCATGCGATTGCATTGTAGAATCGATCAGAGAAAGTTGATCATGTAGCATATTAAGTAGAATTGGTGTGTACTGCAAGGTTTTAGAATCATCAAACGGATAATAAATTGGCCCAGTCTTGGTAACAAGCACTGTACATGGGACTACACAAATATGTGGCATAATAATTCAGGCTCTTATTTTTAATCTGTTACATGTCATATTTAGATTATGAAGGCATTTGAAGAGCCATGCTTTTAGTATGTTATTCAGTATTTAAAAAAATCTATATCAATGCATATTCGTATATGTCATAATGCATTATAAAGAGAAGTATCATCCAAAACGCTATTCGATTCCAGTATAAATTTTGAAATTGACATGGAACTTACATTGCAATAACGCTACCATTTTATTCAGCCATTTATTTTTGCTTCAGAAAATGTTCTCTTTGTAATCGACTTTTCATTAAATTAATACTCGTTTCCTCCTCTGTTCCGTAATTAATCTCCTCTAGACAATCATTTTTTTTTTGCGTGTTTTATTGCGGTGTATGATTGCCCGCATTTCGTTTACATGACAATGATCTTATTTATTTCACATGCGATCCTTTTCACGTAAGTTTTCTCTCCCCCAGAGAATTCGGAGAAGATATCGAGGGTTCACTGACACAAAGACGTAACTCTATATTTTGCCAAACTGAGTATTTGATATCAAAATGTTCAGAAAAATGTGGGCTGTCCAGGAAAGACAAAGACTTAACTCCACCCAACACCCAATTGAAGTCAATGGCTAGTGAAACATAGACTTAACTTAAGCTAATATAAAGGCCCAAGTGCTCAGTGACACATAAACCATTTTTTCTCAAAATAGAGTTACGTCTTTGTGTCACTGACCCCTCGATATAGTGAGGTTGAATAAAAGAGAACAAAGGTGAAATGTGAGCTAGAGCTAGATGCCGTTCTACTGAGTGGCAGGCAGGGGTAGCCACATTGTTTGACATGTTGGTCAATATCTTAAGGAGATGTGAAGTGGTTTTACGTACGGGCCAGCAGATGAAGAAGATGCGTGGAGAGAGAGGGGGTTTTGGTGGAGATGGAACGGGTGAGGAGCGTGGAAGTGAGATGAGGAGGTATACAGGTGGGTAGGGGAGAGAGACTTAAAGGGAGGGGTATAGAGAGTGAGGCAAGGACAAAGGTTTCATAGAAATATGGAAGAGAAGAGCCATTAATAGGAGGAGGTAGAGAAAAGGGAACAGAGCGTGCGAGAGAAATGGAGGGAGAGAGGGGGAGAAAGAGAGAAAAAGAGGGAGAGAGGGGGAGAAAGAGAGAACAAGAGAGGGAAAAAGAGAGAGAGAGAGAGAGAGAGAACATGGGAGGGGGTAAAATATATTCAAGAGTGATTATTGCGAATGCAACGGAGAAATACGAACAATACCACAAACAAATATTGCCGAAGGTTGAAACTACGCAAGACATAGTGCGTCTCGGATCAAAGAAGATAACTTGGGACGGAAAGACAAAACGGAAGGAAAGTCGCCTATCATATATAATATATAAAACAAATGTAAAGAGAATGATAAAACGCCGTTATTCACGCTCTAATTAGCAAATACACAAGTATGAATGACTCCCACAGACTTTGTAAATGTTGTACACCATCTTCTTCGAGCTGCGCGCTATTTCCCATTTTTTAGGAGCAACGCAATTTCTGTTCATCACACGGCCAAACACATTCGCAACAGATCGGTTTACAAACTTATCACCCAACAGAGCACATTGGCAATGAGTACAAGCCCCCTTTAATCAAAGATATTAGTAAGGACTTCGTAGAGAGGTGACTTAAGGCGGGGCAGTAATACAATCGCAATTCATGTCCTCCCTATGGGGGAATAAAACTCACCCCTATACAATGGAAATTCGGTGCAGATAATGACCACTTCAACGCATCTCCATGCCAGACACACTTGACGAGACCTTAATGAAACCCTAGACTACAGATCTAGTTTTTCCGGTACCTTTCCAAATTTCGCCGCATTTTTCCTCTTTTCTCCCCCCCCCCCCCCCCCCCTCCACTCCGTAATGTAGAGGAGACTCTTAATAGTGAAAACGGAGGACGCCGCGCTTCCTCTGTTTCTTTTACCGCACAGACAATAAGACACGTTTTGTGATTTCATTTGTTGGCCCATTTTAAACATTTATTCTGATGAAGACATGAGCGAAATCAAAGACGATTGGATTACACTCTCGTATTCGCTCATGACGCGATCATGTATCGCGTAACCCAGGAGAGCCCCGAGAGTAGTGGTTGAAAAATGTGATCTTCTTAAAATGTAGTCCAATGTCAAAGATTTAAAGAAGAACACCAAGGCGCATCTGCCAGGCTGCGGACTCGGGACGGCGGTCTCAGACAAACTCCATCATCGATTGATTATTCAAATTTCTGGTAGACAGAATAATTATGAAATTAAAAAGAAGAAAGAGAGCATAGGGTAAACTAGATCGAGGACGGAGACAAAGAGGAGACGAAGAGCAACATTTAGGAGAAAAGGTGACAGATTAGATTCATAAATATTGGTGCATTATAATTCACGTGCAATATCATAATCAAGACCATTCGTATAGTTTGCATGATTCGTATTCCAAGTATACGTGTTATGGATACATTACTAGGCTGGAATGTGTATCAGTACCATTGGCAGTAGTAGTGGTGACGTGGTAGTAAAACTAGCAGTAGTACTAGTAGTGGATGTAGTACATTTAGTGTCGTAATAGTAGAAGTAACAGTACTGGTGGTGGTAATCTTAATAGTGGTGGTGGTGGTGGTAGACGTAGTGGTAATAGTAGTAGTAATAATGTTGATAGTGGTAGTACTAGTAGTGGATGTAGTACATTTAGCAGTAATAGTAGAAGTAAAAGTAGTTGTAGTAGAAGTAGTAGAAGTAATAGTAGTAGTAGTAGTAGTAGTAGTAGTAATAGTAGTAGTAGAAGAAGTAATAGTAGTAGTAGTAGTAGTACAGTAGTAGTAGTAGTAGTAGTAGTATAGTAGTAGTAGTAGTAGTAGTAGTAGTAGTAGTAGTAGTAGTAGTATATAGTAGTAGTAGTGGTGATAGTGGTGGTATTAGTAGTAGAGTAGTGGTAGTAGTAGTAATAGTGGTGGTGGTAGTCTTAATAATTGTTGGTGTTTGTGTTATAGTAGTAGTAGCCATAGTCGAATTATTAGCAGTGGAGTGAAATAGCAATGAAAAAGATGATGAGCAAAAGAACATGATTCATACCAGAGAAATAGCATTCTCTGAAAAGACCGTCCTTTTTTATATAAAAAAACGATAAAAAGAAAAACTTACATGTAAAAATAAAAAAAACCTTAATATTATGGACTGGGGGAACATAAGAGTGAAAGACTCAGTGGATACTGGGTTTAAATACAGATAGAAGAATGGATGGAGATCTTGTCGAGAACAAAGAAAAAGGAAAAAGAAAGAGAAAGAAAATTAAGAAGTTAATAAAATAAAGAATAAAGAGTCGCGGAATGTTCTCTGAGGCCATATACGAATGGTGACATTACATGGAGAATAAATAAACTGTGAATTCGGATGAACAAAGAGATATCTCATTCATGAACCGCGGGATAGTCATTAGTCAATCATGCAAATGTCTCAAAAATCATTAATAATTCATCTTCCTCCATTTTCCTTCATACATCTTCCTGCAGGACTAGTAAAGTTTCAAAAAAGAATCCGTGCTCCTGCCACGAATATGACTTGTGATCGAGAACACCGCCTCCAGTCGACTTTCAGATGTTGAACATCTTTAATTTTGTAAGATGTTACAAGCAGACAAGTCATCCCTAAACCTGGCTCAAATTAGCGCGAAATTGTAACAGAAGTAGAAATCTGGGTCTCTGCCCTCCTTTTACACAACGCCAGTGGCAAGATATTTATTTTTTGAAAAAACGCGGGGAATTCAGTTATTTCTTGGCAACATAATATGGTTTCTCATCATCTCATTCTATTTATACTCGTAGTAATACCCGTCCATATTAAAATTCAATAACCCAAATCCAAATATTTTCTTTCCCAAATAGAATAATGCAATTGTATTAGTATACAATCGCAATATTCGAGTTATACGCCAA